ACCCTGGCACCTTTCTTATAGGTGGCGGCTCGTCAGGTGGATGATCACGAACTGGCCCTGGTGCCTGCCGGGCAGTCTGCGCCTAGAAGTGGAAGCCAAGAATGAATGCCTATAGAATGAAGACGATATTGACGCGTCATCAGGCATCATGGTGAACGGTTAATACGCATTGAACACTAGACGCGATGGGACTGTGAGACTGCCGTGGGGGCGACATGTACGAAAAGGGTGACAATCCGCTTTTGATTCATGTTTATCAACCCGTTGACGCGCCTGGACACCCCGTGCTCGATCGCCTTCGGAGTCCAACCTAGGGAAACATGGACGCTTTCGGAATAAGCGTCCCAGAGACGTCCAGAACGACAGCAAGTCACAGCAGTGAGACTGAGGCATCGACGATGCTGAACGCGACATCTTGGGCCAGTTTTCGCCGTCTGCTCTTCTTTGCCGGACTCAGTTTCACGAACTCTTCGTCACTACATGGTTCACGCCCAAAAACATGGTTTTGAATGTGCCAGTGCTCCAAGGTTAAGATCCCAGTCCTCTCCACTCCTCCCGAATCAACAAATCAGTGGATCCACTATATAACTGGTTGCATTTTGTTTTCGCCCACATGCATATCAACATATCAACCCCACGCCAACTCATTGGCAGCGCAACTGAGCTCCCAAGCCTTTAGGCGTCAGAAGTTCGCAACAGCCGCAACCGAACGTTCTGTCTGGTTTTGTTTGAGGAATCTTCTTCTGGCTTCACAAATCAAGTGTTCAGCGCTTCATCTCCTTTTGCAAACTCCATTGGTTTCGTTCTCACTGTGTCTGATTGATTGGTTCCAATCAGATCTTAATATTTTAGACAATGCTTTCAAGCCAAATGCTAAAAGCGGCACTGAAAAGCATGTCAACAACACACCCAATGTCTCAATGTGTAGAAAAACTGACAAATACTCCAAGGATCCATCGTCACCACCATATCAATATCAAAAAACATAACTTCAGTGAGACACCCCGGTGAGTTCCCCCAATTCTTTCGTCCTTGACCTCTCTGGTCAAAGAAACATGTCTTTGTTGCATCCTCCGGGATGTCAACAGCCTCTGTCACGTTGAGCCTCCGTCACAGTCAAGCAACTCTTCGAGGGACCTCCATCAGACTTGCTGTTGTTTGGACGTATAGAACCACTCTGATGGAGCCAGGCGACACCGGTTAAGAGACCCATCGAATAAACCCGGAAAACCCGGGGGATCCAACTGGGAGAATTCGTCGAACTATATCGGCCTTCGTCCGCATCGCTGCATCGGGGCGCTCCAAGACGGATCCACTCAGCGACCCGGATCCGCTCTGACGGATCCACTCTGTCTTATCTCATCTCGCTCGATCGGCGGGCCTTCTGCCTTTTTTGGGTCCCTTGCCAGGTCCAACTCGATCGAACGGAACCTCGGCCCTTGGATTCGCTGAGCCAGTTGGATGGGCGAGTCGGCTCTCTTTTTTGCGATGAGTCACTGGAGAGCAAACATCATGGGACCTTTCTGAGTCTTTTCTCAATCCCTCATCCCTTTTAGACATTGATCTCATTTCACCATCTATTTCGGATCATCCTCGGATAAGAACAAACATCACCGATGCTGCCCCCAAATAGGAGCCCGTTTTCCTTCGGGTCTCCGGTGTTTGAGTCGAACTGGAACAGGTGACCTACTCGGTTTGGATCTGGGATTGAAGACCAGTTGAGCTGATCCCAGTGTGAAACTGCACTTAAAATATTAAGATGCTGTTGAACAAAGGGGATTTCTATTGCCTCGATCAGCTTTCGAGATTCAGCGAATCCAGGTCATTCACTTTCGCGTTTTCACGGCACAAACCGTGCACGGAACTCGCGCACGAAACGTCACACGCTCTACACATGGACATGCTCGGAGCTGCTGTGACAGCGAATTGACATGGAGTGGCGGCTCTTTTCAAGATTGCACACACTCCCAACAGCACCCTTAGGGTGAGTGTGCCAGGAATCTGTATAAAGGAGATGTCTCAATGTCATGTCATGCCTATGTAAATCACCAAAGAATTTCTTGGCCAAATCCCAACAGCACACTGAGGCACACACTTCCCACACAGCACATGTGGATGTGGCCCTTCTTAAATCGTTAAATAGAACACAAAATACATCGGAAGTCTACAAAACCCTTCAGGTTACCTTCCAGTGGCGCTGGCCGCGTTGTAATAGTTTCGACTCGGTTGAAAGACCACTTTCAAGATGGCCGTGGTCCTCCCATGTGGATCCTGCGCGCGCCACCCGAGCCCAAAGCCAGGCATTTCGGTGGGTTGGGGCTTTTACATGGGAGGCCGTTAATGAATTGAAGCTTAAGGCTTATGCGCTCAATAATACGCCTCAATGTTGGGTGAATGGTGGAACTCCGTTGAATGATTGGGACAGGCTTTCATGTGAACAAACGGAGGACAACATGTGAATACATGTGACAACATGAGCTCAGTGACCATCCACACAACCAAACAGATTTCATGATTCAGCACCTGATAGAACATGATTGGAAGGAAAATGAGGCGACTCATTGAATTCTCTTACACATCTTTTTGATGACCTCTACAACACCAGTCGATCTCTTAAATGACCAACTCCACAAGTTCTGCGAGATCAGTGACCACCACAATCACCGATCAGTGGCACCACCACCCAAATCAACTACCGAATTTTGGATCAATTCTCCAATTGAACCAGTTCTCCAGTTCACCATGTAACATAGTTCTATGATGTTCTATGCAAACCCAATTTGCCAGCTCACTGAATTTTGAATTTTGAACCAATTCTGCCGGTTCTGCCAGAATGCTGTGGTGGCTTGTTTTGAGCATGCGTTGCATCTGACAATATCCAAGCACCCGAATCTCATCCAAACATCAGAGGTGCTTGAACAGCGCACAAACTCAAAGCTTTCTGCACCGAGCATCGATTCTCAAGTAGTTCTGCCCTGGTGGCAAGCCATCCTTGCAGGTAGACGACACGAGCCAAACAAATACAAAAAAGAAAAACCATATGACGACATGCATGTGGAGCCCATGCGCAAGTCATTGAAAACACACACCCATATATATATATATGATTCGCAGCTGTTTTGGCCCGGTGCCTTGACCTGAGCCCACCCCTCCACCCGGGTCTATGAAACTGGCGAGTCCGTCCACCTGTGGCCGTCGCCGTCTACCTGTTTCGGGCGCTTCCGTCCTGGAAGACCCAAATGGCCACCTCGAACTTGTCGGCCGCTGCCTGCAGTGTCACGCCATCCCCCCAACTGCGCTCCAGAGCCATGCTGTCCACCTGGTGCGATCGGCGAGTGGTGTGTGCAGCTGAGCGGTGGAAGAAAGGCGTGGGGCCGTAAGTTGATTTTCCCCTTCTCACATTCTTCTCACTGCAAAATCGAAATCAGTGGGTTGCAAAAAACTGCAAGATGGTGAAGAACAGAGGCCAAATGTGAACAGCAACAAGGCAGAAACAGGCTTTGCGGACAAGTCAGGAACATCCTTTGATCGTGTGATGTTTTTGTGGAATTGGCTTCTCTAATTGTCGTCATCGGGTTGAGTTTGTATGGCGCTCTCATGGCATATCTTGGACATGTGTGGACCGATATCTGTGAACATTTACACAGCCAAGATGCATCATGATGAAGAAGCAAGAGATCGTCAATCGCGGTTCAACAAGTAAGAACTAGGGGATTTGATACCACGTCTCAAGCACGCACTCATGCGAAAGTTGCTACAGCAAACCAGAAAAAGCACAACCCGAGATGAGAGCTATATATATCCCGGGCCAAAAAATAACAATACTTTGCTGATCTTTGCCTCTACTTGTCTGCGGAAGAAATCAAACAATGCAAAAAAATGCCATGCAAGTCACCCACGCAAAGTAGTCCTGGACAGCTCCCACGTTGTACCGATGATGTCCAGCTCTCAATTGTTGAACCACCGCGCTACCTGCACCGCGTTGTACCGAGGCCGAACGGCGTCGGCGCGGTGGATCACCTCGGTGGTACCGACAGCTCCGAGAGCTAGCTCCGTGTTTTGGTGGTCGTCGTGACATGTGTGACTCATACGAGTCTGTTAGTAGTTTTTGACCCTGGAGATCGTGAGAGTTTTGGCGGATCTCTTTAGTTTCTGATGGAGAATTGATGTTTATGAGATCGTTTTGACCCTTTCAGTTTGTGTTATTGTTTTTCTTGCTTCCTGGGACACGGTCTCCACATGCCTCCAAAGAGCCAATTGGATAGAGGGTGAGATGATTCACCACTGTGTGGGATGACCTTCAAAATGTGACCTTTCAAGGTCGTCTCTGGTAGGGTCTTCTTTTCGTCTTTTGTCGACAGGACTGGTGAAGTTGGCTTGACGGTCCCTTGAATTCCCTTGATTGATGCTCGACAGCTCCCCTATGGCGGGGCGTGGGCAAATCCGATGGAGGGGGGCAAGGAGATGCGGATCTTATTTCTATGACCTACATGACCTATAATTACATGAAGACCGCCCCAAAACCATCCAAAACTTACGCCACCATGGATCGTTGTAACATGGGTCAATAGTTGGATTGACATAGGACCCGTCACCTGGCGGACCCAACTGGGATAGTCGAACGTTCGGCTTCTTCAACCTCTGTTGGTGGGATTTCAGTGGGGAAACCTCCTATCCCCCAAAAACGTTACTGTAAAGGTTGTCCACTGACGGGGTAGGACACATGTCAAGTATGTGTCCAGCACCTTCCGGAACTTTGTTGGTTGGAAGAGCTTCTGAAATCATGCGATGTCGCTGCTTTTCGGCCCCGAAAACGTCATGGAAAAGCTCACCTCAAACTCCAGACGACTCCCAAATGATCGAACTCATGGCGTCCACGGATTCCGGATGAGAAGCACACGGGATAGCTATTTGTTTGCTTTTGATACCACACACACAGTCAGAATCCAGCAGAGGTTTGAGAACTCTGAACCACTAACATGGAAGTGAAAAACAATGTAAAACAGGCACGGAGAAGACCCATTAGTGAGTGGGAGTGTATAATCCCTTATGATTCTGATGGCACCATCGAAATTTTGGGGACTTCTGCGAATCCCAATTCAAGGAATTGGTTCAAGGGAACAGCTGCAGGAAATCCTTGTTTTCACACCCAAAAGTATGGCTTGCCTGTAATTCCCTGAAACCAATTCTGGGACCCGGATTCTGGCGGCCAATCCCAACGAGTCTGGTTTCTTCGTCTTGGTTTTTGCAAAGCGCCCAGGCACGCACGGAGGGGTGATGATGTTCAGTGCCATAGATTTGGTGTGCCAACGCTCCTCAGATCGACTCAAATCATCGCTTACCTTCGTGGATTTGGGTGGAAACCCCACTTGCTGACTTTCAGACGTTGGCTGTGGGAACCCCAGGTCCTCTCCCAGGTTGACTCCCGGGTCGATTATGACATGTCAACGTGGGGTAGGTTGGATCCCTCATAGCCACATACCGTCAGTGAAGCTCGGCCACATCCGACTGATCCTGTGCACCGGTGATGTGGCGGCGATCATGGTGATGGAGTTGATATCAAAAAGGGTGTGTTGCACTTTTACATGGCAAAAAGTATGACAAAACATACAAAAAGGAGTACAACAAGGGATTTGCTCAAGGTGTTTCGAACTTTTTACCCCTTGCCATGCCAAGGCTCGAAATTGGCAATTTCCATCACCACGCACCTCAACTTCTCTTAGCCCTTCTGCCAGCAGTCCGGGCAAAACGTCGGAGACTACCACCGTCTTCTGCGGCACTGGCGCCCGATGGTGAATGATCTGCTGCACCACGGGTTGTGGAGAGGAAACAGGGGGGACCATGACTTGTTGCACGACGTCTGGCAGCTGCAACGGCAGCGCATCATGCGGGTGCGGGTGGGAGTGCACCACAACTGGCGGCGGATGGTAGCCATCCACGTGATGTGTCGCGGAGTGTACCACACCTGGTGGCGGATGGAAGTCGTCCACGTG